CTGAGCCCCCGCCATTGGAACGTGGCTGGAATACGAGTTGGCGTCCTTAAAAAAAAAAAAAAAAAAAACTTTAGATTATTTCCAGTGTTATATATAAAGTGAATATAGAAGTCAACTTAGAGGCGACAGTCCGTTTCATGCTAGATGCAATCGTCAGGCCACTCGTGGCCTCACGATTGCATCTAGCATAAAACAGACTGTCGCATCTAATGTTTTATATTCACTTTTTTATATTTACACACGCTCTATCTGATACTGAACACTTTATCCCATAAATATAGCACATTTAAGACTAATATATATATATATATATATATATATATATATATATATATATATATATATATATCTCACTGAAGATATTCTTCCAGTAATGGTTTGTTTGTTTTTTTTTTTAATATCCGATCAGAAAATCTTAAAAATTTATCCCGAAAACTTACAAAAAAAATATTAAGACTCAAAAATTAATTTAAATTTTCTTTCAGATTGGAGTTAGATTAATTTTGGGTTTGGCTATAAAATATCAAATAGGAATAGTTCAATTCTAAATTACCTCCATAATGCTTATGTAAGGATAAAATAATTACATAAGTCTGGAGGTATTTGAATATACTCCGATATTAGTGGCTGAAAGAAAGCAAAGTGAAGGCAATTAATAAACATTATCAATAAGTTTTTATCAATTACTAGTAGCATGGTCCGGCGTTGCCCATGCTCGATTCAAAAATCGTACGACTCATACAGCAATCGCTATCACTTGACTTAAAATATGTTTGCCCTTCCTTGAGGAGTGCCCTTTGCCGTGCTGATGTTGCTACATGCCTTACTTCTTGCCTATCTCACACTGCGAATTTTTTCTAAGCTCTATACGAAACATTAAATCTGTTACGAAAAAAGAACTAAACAAAATGAACACAAAACGATCAGCTTTAAAAAAGGACTTGTAACTGGAAAAACCTAATGAAAAAAAAGAATGTTAACAACAAATACTTTTTCACACCCAAACCCAGTTCTGCGGAATCAGAATCAACGTTGAGTTTAAGCAAGTGAATGAGCCAATTGGAGTAAAGTGCCATGCAGATTTAAATTTTTCCCCACTTGTGACGAATGCAGCTAACGATTTTTTTGCTTGCTAGCATGCTAGTTAACATTCGTGTCAGTCAGCTGTTGGCTCTCACGCTGGCCAATAGAATCTTCCTGCCTATTCGTGGCAGCCAGCTATAGGCTCTCACTCGGGCAAGTAGAAAATGGCCGCAAACTACATGAAAATTGCCGTAGAAGCATGAAAAACTTTATTATTTCCACTATAGATGGGAGTTGGGAAATGCAAAGTTGGTCTTGGCCTTCACACTAACTTGGAGCATGTGCATGTAAATTTTGGTGCAAATCCGTCGAAAATTGCGGCCGTGCATTCGTTACACACACACACACACACATATCCTGCCTTTTATAGATAGAGATTACCATTTTTATTCATTTATAGCATTTTCTTTTGCTGAATAAATTTTCTTAAAATAATTAAAAAGACCTGACTTGTTGCAGTTATTTCATGATATCAAATAGTTAAAAAAAATGAAACGGATAAAAAAAAAAAAATATTACTCCGTGTTTTAATTTTTTTGTTTTAATATTTCTATTAATATAAACAAATATTCTAAGAAATAATTTTATTTACAGAATAATAATATACAGTGCGGCAGGGGGGGCAATATTCGTACACATACAAATTTTAAATTATTGTATTTTCCAACTAATGAATAAACATACTTTTCATATAATTAAATTGTACGAATACTTTTCACCCATTAAAATGGATAAATGGGATTTATTTCTACTAAATCATTTTTTAAAATTTTTCTATACATATTTAGTTATGCATCTGTGTACAGTTAATTATATGAAAAGTATGTTTATTCATTCATTGGAAATACAATAAATTAAAAATTTGTATGTGTACGAATATTTGTTTCCCCCTACTGTATATTTCTACATTATTTGTTATAGAAAATTAAGAATGATTATTTTTAAGCATAAACAAATGCGGTTTCTGTATTGTGACATTTTTGTGCTTTAGGGTGCATTTGATTAAATTTGAAGCAGTTTATTATTTTTCAAAATTTGATGCTGTAGGAGTTAACCTCTATCGTTTGATCTATGAATTTGTTGACAGTTGGAATATAACTTGCTATATTCAAAGGTGTTTTCACTATATTTTAAACGTTCATTAAGTAATACAGGATGCGGAAGAAATATTTCCCCACATACATCTCTCACAATGGCTAGATGAAGACAATTGCCTCTAACAACTTACAAGTATGTTGGAGGTATTTCTGTTGCACACTGTATTTTTCCAAAATTATTTTAATTAATCATTAATTTTACTGATTTTCTTTGAAACAAATACCTAGGATAAATGTGTTTTTTTTTTTATTAGAGATTTCTAAAATGGCGCATTGATGATAAAATGACAGCAATGGTAATATTAGCCGTTATAAGGAAACATTCGACATTCATAGACTGAGCAGCCATTACTACCAGTTGAAATTTCTAAAAGCTTTTGCTTAAAACAATTTTTCAAGAAAATAGGTTTCTCAAGTCCAGTAGCTTTTACCATTATTGATGAGGGTTTCCCTCCTAACCTTTTATTTGAAGTAGTGTGGAACGTCAACATCTTGATTATGTGAATTTCTCTTCGCGTTACATGTGATATCCATTTTAGCTGTTGAAAGTCCTCATGTGATGTGATATCTATTCCGTTCAGTTCTTTCTGATTTAGGTCCACAAGGTTTGAATAAGTATCGTCTTCACTATCTCAAAGCCATTTTTAAAAATTCATCTTAGAAAGCAGTTGTATACAGATGACAGTTTACACCAGCGTTTCTCAACCGGTGCGCCCTTGCGTTCTAATGAGCCTTAAAATGTAAGCAGCTGCGTCCCAAGTTAACACAAGATTAATTTATCAATCTCTCTCTCATATATATATATATATATATATATATATATATATATATATATATATATATATATAAAGCAGCACAGGTTTTCTTAGAAGCATACTTAAATGTACAAAATGTATTTAAGATAAATACTTATTTCAGGAGATCTTTTTTTTCTAATTTCATGCCTAATTTTTCATTATTAAAATTCAAAGTGTCCCCCCACCCAGAGTTTTAGTTATTTTACAAGTGCAGCTTGAAGTGTAAATAAATAAATAAAAAGGTTGAGAAACACTTTAGACATTTGTGAACAGGTTTGGCGCCATGCATGACGTTCATGTGAAAGTCGATCTGACGAGGCTACTTAAGATCATGCGTTTTAAAAAGGTCTTAAAGCCTTACTAAAACGCGTAAAATTATTTTTATATATATTAGATTTAGGCTACTGGCTAAAAAGGAGGCATTTAGATTATTTTAAATGCGTTTTTTTTAAGCTCAATTTTCAGCTATAATTTTGATTTTTATTTTAATGTTTTTTGAATTTTACGGTGTATGGAAGCAAATTTAATTAATACCGGAGGTTTTTATTTTAACCTTGTTTTGGAACAATTTTTAGGAGAAACGGAAATTGTAGAATATGGAGTTGAACTGTAATTATGAACCTTGCCTTGGTGTATGGAAAATTTAATATAGGAGAAAAGGAAATTGAACATAGAATAGGCTGCGTCGGAGGTAGTTTGAACTGTAATATGATGAGACCTTGCCTTGGTGTATGGAACAATTTAATATAGGAGAAAAGGAAATTGAACATAGAATAGGCTGCGTCGGAGGTAGTTTGAACTGTAATATGATGAGACCTTGCCTTGGTGTATGGAACAATTTAATATAGGAGAAAAGGAAATTGACCTTGCCTTGGTGTATGGAACAATTTAATACATAGAATAGGCTGCGTCGGAGGTAGTTTGAACTGTAATATGATGAGACCTTGCCTTGGTGTATGGAACAATTTAATATAGGAGAAAAGGAAATTGAACATAGAATAGGCTGCGTCGGAGGTCGTTTGAACTGTAATATGATGAGACCTTGCCTTAGTTTGGAACAATTTAATATGAAATTGAACATAGAATAGGCTGCGTCGGAGGTAGTTTGAACTGTAATTTGTGTATGGAAAATTGAACATAGAATAGGCTGTGTATTAATATAGGAGAACAATTTAATATAGAGAAAAGGAAATTGAACATAGAATAGGCTGCGTCGGAGGTAGTTTGAACTGTAAATGATGAGATGATGAGAAATTGAACATAGAATAGGTGTATGTTTGAACTGTAATTTGAGAATATGGAACAATTTAATATAGGAGAAAAGGAAATTGAACATAGAATAAGCTGCGTCGGTGGTAGTTTCACCCAACACCGCAAATTGCTACAAAACAAAAACATCAACATGAAAATTCGAGTCATGTTGAATAGACTCGTCAGATCGAAACTTTCATATGGATGTTATGCATGGCGCCAAACCAGTTCAGAAATATCTAAACTGTCAGTTGTACATAATCGCTTTCTAAGATCAATCGTTAACAAAAGATTTGAACGACTGAAGTCTGAATGTCTTGGCAACGATCATCCTTCTTGGAACATTGTGGACTGGCGCTACATATTCAAAAACAAACTCTTTAGGACTACCAACAGTGGCAACAACTAAAATGGATAGTACATGTAATGCGAAGAGAAAATGACATTATTTATCAAGATGTTGACGGTCCACCCTACTACAATTAAATGATTGGTGGATTTTGCTTAGCGCCATATCAACCTTTATGGGTTATTTAATACTAAATCTAAGAATTTTGCACGCAATTTTATTTAGATTTTTTTTTTTAAGATAATGGGTTTAGTGATAAAGTTTTACTATTTAACCCATAGTTAGGGGAGAAGAGGTAAATTAATACCTTTCCCAATGGCATTTGCGCATAAGTGAATATAACGAACCCAACAGGAATTGGAACACAGCTCGCCGATTAAAAATTCCGAATCATTATTCATTACACTATACGCACATCCAAGTTTACGACACCTGGTATTCCCAAGCGGTCACCCATGTAGGCATTGACCAGGATCAACATTGCTTAACTTCGGTGACTGTATGGGAACCGGTGTTTCAACGTGATGTGATCGTAAGCATAAATGGTCCGAAAGGAAACCTCCATCAATAATGGAAAGAATGATAACAGCTGCTGGATTTAAACCTATTTTCCTAAAAGAAAATAGGTTAATAGAAAGCTTTTTATAAATTTCAACCGAAAACAGTACTGGCTGCTCGGTCAATGAACACCAAATGTTTCCTTGTAGGGAAAAGTCTAATATTACCATAGTCATTAATAAAGTAAATGTGGAAGAATGGATAGCTGCTTGGATTGAGGAATCGGAGAGCAGAGTTGGAATTCCAATCGAATCCATTACATTCACTTACGTGCTAATACCCTTAGGAAGGGTATAAATACTCTTCCCCCCCCCCCAAGCAGGACAGACCAGGTTCTATAGCCTTAAATTGCAACTGGTCTAACGCAGAAAGAAATGGCAACCTACTGCGGGATAAAAACTTGTCAGTCATGCATCGAAAGATACATGATCGCCTAAGCGTGTTTCACACATAACTGACTGAACGTTATAAAAATTAGATTTTAACTAAATTCACCTCGGTTATAGATTTAGTTAAGACAGGTGATAAATTGCAATAACCCCCTGGTATATTCGTCTATGGCCAGTAACAAAGTCACAAGAAAAAAAAAATCACATTTTTGGCTAGGGAGAAAAACACAGGAATAAGTCAATTAATTTACATGTTTAATTTATATGTTAAACTAAATATTTATATTTTTAAGCAAAGGTCGTTAATTTACCATCAGTTCTGCATACTGAGACTGATTGACATATTAACCTTAAAAATGTAAGAATTCGATAGTTAAGCTTTCTATTAAAGAAAGACGCATAAACAGTACTAACATTGTCCTGTGACTTCGTTTTTTCTTGGATTCTGTTAATCGTAAGGGATTCGTTAATCATGGGGATCTTTTCTGTTAATTCACTCTAAAATATTAGTTCACCCCAAAATAAAAAGAATTTATATTTACCAAAATTCACACCAAATACCCCACCTCCCGGAACGAGGCTCTTCCATTGCACTCCGGTTGGGTAGACCTATGCGATCGCCCCAAATGTGAGAGACTCTGGTGTCTTATTTCTAAGTGTCGGGGTCTACGTCGCGCTCACCCCGATAAACAAGCCAAAAACAGATTTTTTTTAAATTGTAAAAACTTTAATAATATCCGCATTTACGAAATATGAATATCTCCCTGATTTCTGGTAATTTTATATTCTGAGGGTTGGAGTTATATTGCGAGGCAAGCTAAACAAATTTTGATTTTAAATTTATAATTTCTTGGGGGGTGAATTTGAAATAAGTAACCTTACATTATTTGGGGTGAATTAACAGAAGAGATCCAAATTTCCATTTTTCTTCCTTTAAGTAAAGTATAGTTTTAAAATCAAAACTACGTTTTCTTTTTTTCTTTTAGGTCAAAATAATGAACACAAAAATTTCGACTGCAGACAAAAATGCATGGAGTATGTTTAGTCTTTATCTCTCTTTTCTTTAAATTTTGTAATGTTTTATGTATTTTGGGAGCACTGTTTACATTTTATTTGCATCAAATTTCTATTTTGAAATGTCTAAGTGTTTGTGATAACTTATTATTGAAATTAGCTAAATTTCTTTCAAGTTCATTAGTTATGGAGATTGTACATAATGTGAGCCTTGTTTTTCGTGTTGTCTTTCTACATCTTATCACACGTTTACAGAGAAGAGGAGGGTAATCAATAGATTTTCTTTTAATTTTTGTGGCCCCATTTCCCACTCCAGTCGCAGCATTCTGCTAAGTATAACCACCACCATTTTTGTTGTTTACTCCTTTCGTCCAACCCACCTTCTGGTTAAAGAGGAGAAATGTCAGTCCATGATGTACGATGGTCCCTGTTCATGGCCGAGGTCAGTCCGTTCAAAAAGAAGAAAAACAGAAGAAAAAAGCCCGTCTGCTCTAGTCTTGTAGATGAATTGAAGACGAGTGTAAAGTCCGGGTCAACAACCCCAACAGAAGGCTTCATTCAAAGTCGTATCACTTGACCTAATAAAGGCTACAAAATAGATGGTGTTTTATAGCACTAATCTACCATTGGGCTCAAGTTAGTCTCACATCTGCTGGACATTCTGAACAACAAAGAGAAACCTTAAGGAAAAAAAAAAAAAGAAAAAGAGATAAAAAAAAGTAAGGTGCGTGACAGAGCAAATGGTCAATTTTATGACTTGCCTTCGCAGATGTCCTTTTACTGCCTAGACTGTTAAGGAGGTAATGATACTTTTTATTTTTTTTATTCCATGACACGTAGGGGTACCATGTGTACTGCAGCCGAAGTGGTGTTTCTTGAGCAAGATAGCCTGACGGAACCCAACCATTTCCAAGCCGGTTTTGAAATCAGAGTTTTTCCTTCTCCTAGACCGGATGCCACCCAAGGCTATAGAACCCAGAGCTATTTACCCATAGCTGGGGGGAGGGGAGAAGAAGAGGATTTATATCTTTGCATTATTTGTATTAGCACGTAAGTGAATGTAATGGATCCGAGTGGAATTCGAACTCGGCTCTCCGATTCCTCAATCCGAGCCGCTATTCATTACTCTACCGTGCCTCCACCAATGGTAATTGGTTTGCCAAATTTCACGCTCATCAAGTCTCCTCTTGCCAGGATAAGTAGCAAAGAGACAAGACAGGTAGAAGTAGATTCCTGCCTCTCGCAGGCGAACAAGTGACAAGTGAACATATGCAGTGCCAGTCCAAATTTTAAACTCAGTTCGCAGATTGTCTCCCACATTAAACAATATACTGTCATATTTACACTTGCATGAGCGAAGGTACTTGCACACATTAATTAAGGAGACAATTTTCTGAAATATTAGGTCTGTGCAAAAGTTCACGGAGTTTATTATTTATTTCTTATTTTTATTTATTTATTTTTTTTTACAAGAAAGTAAAATTAAGGAAAAAAGAACTGGAACTTCTTTTGAACCCACCTAATATAACTATCTACCTGCAAAGATTCGCTAAAACAATGAGCATGAATAATGAAAAAATGCTCAAAACTTAAAGATTTTGACGATAAAAACTTTTTTTTTAAGATTTATTATCGAAGGATTTTTTGATTTTCAAGTTATTTTTTAAATTCTTTTTAGAACCTTCGGAATTTTGGTTTAAATTTTTTCTTCTTGCGTCAGCGTGTGACCATGAATTAGCATAGTAAATTTTAGCGCGCTTTTGCTGTGAAAAAAAATATTGATTTGGAACTTCTTGAAAAAAATCAGATAATTGTCAGATTTTAATTAAACTTTCAGAATATATTCGCAAATGAATTAAATGTGTGAAAGTGTTTTTTTTTTTTCTTTATGAAATCTTGTTAAAAATATGAATTTTTATTGCCTTCAAGAATTTTTTTTTTTTTTTTTTTTTTTTTACATTTAAGGAGTTGGTTATCCTGTTTTTACTAAGGCGCACAAAAAAATTTTTGTGCTAGATTTTGTTGTAAAATTTCTATTTTGTTCTTTATGTCTATGTAATAAATGTTTGTTCCTTTCAAATTTCACAACGGAATTTCGAACCTTGCTTGTTTTTTTTGTATGTCTTATTTTTTATTAGGGATAAGAGAGGTGACGTTCTCTCTTCTCCTTCCCCTCCGCCTCATTCCCAGTGAAAAAAATCCTTTTAAAGTTTCCACCGTCAAAGCGTATCTCTGTATGCGTATGTTTATATACACAAGTCTGCAGGAATACGAGATATCACGGTACGTAGATTAAGCAGATTTAATAATCAGGTTATTGGATTGGAACAAAAGTTTTATGAATTCATAAGTTTAGTGAAGTGTAAGAGAAATAAATCCCTTGTGAACAAAGACTGGTTGTCCTCATTCCCCAACGCTCCTATGCAGTCGACCACCCAAATAGGAAGTTATAAAAACGCGAGTCAGATAATAGTTCATTGTGAGAGATTTTAACAGATCAAAACAGTCAAATTGTGGCTTATTAATAAAATAAAGACTACATGAGTTCTCGTGTCAATTTTTAATCGGCATATTCTTCAAAGCTATACCTCTAACGGCTCAGCCAACATACTGGGATTCTATTTACTATTCATTTACATTTTTTTCCTCAATAGGAGTAGATAGGTTCACCTGCCGCCCGTTTACACTCCTTTCCGGTATTTTGAACTGGAGTAAAAGTTTATTAATTGTTTCTCGATTTTTGGGTTTCCGGTTCTTTAAGACTTCATTCTATTTTTCACAACAGCCCATTGTGTTTTAGTAGCATTATCGCTTTGCTTAGTGGGTATTGATAAATAAATAAACAAACTTGTGTAGATAACAATATCAGTATTTTGTTTTCGGCGCAATAGTTTCCAGGTTGAAAATACATCCCTTAAGTGCATTCCAGTGGATTAAATGACCTTTCGACCAGAACAAAGCGTTTTAAATTTAAATGATCACAATTGCGACTAATAATCGTAGTCTATCAAAACGAAACCCGAAAAACAAAAACAAAACAAAAAAACAAAAAACAAAACAACAACAACACGAACCAAGAAGATTCCCCACCCCACAAAATAAACTAGAAAACATTGGGTGTCTAACTGTAGATTGATAGTTCGCAATATCGTCTTCACAAAGAAATGAATTCTTGCAGTGAGAGTCCGATACTCTTAGGATCGCCTAGAACTGTCTTCGTGACAGACGAAATTTAATAAATCCGAGCATGCTTGCTTGATTTTAGAAATCAAGTTGTTATGACTTAGGTTGACTTGAGCCAACACAAAGGATCGCTGTCCAAAAAAGATTTCAAGCTCGACTGTTCTCTACAACTATTTAGTAAGATCGATCCATGCTTGGTGCTTTACATGCTGTCTTACACTAAACTAATGCTACTAATCACCAATTAAAATACTTCACTTTATATCACAAAAGATGCAATATACACCGTAATTTTTCTGATTTGATCGGGTTAAACAAATTGGCGAATGGGGTGGTGGAAGATGTGGGAATTATCCCCATTTAGTCTGCCGAGATGCCAGATACGTGGCGCT